GAGCTCCATGGCATCTTCCCTAGCCTTGGTGACCGCAGCCTTGAGCTTGTCCTTGGCCTTGTCGGCATGTTGACGGGCTTCTCGTTCCTTGATGCGAGGCTCGCCACTTCCTCCTACTGGCCGCGACACTTGGCGGCAAGCCCTCGAGACCTTCCTCTCGTGACGAAGGATTAGGGACTACTCCCGGCTATGCATCGTAAGGGACTGTGAAAAAATTAGGTTAAAATTATGTAAACAGGGCTCAGAAGTAGAAAATGTGGGGACACGACAAACCTAGCCGGCTGGGGCAACGTCATCCTTCAACACCCCAATGCGTCGGTCAGAGTGCGGACTACGGACTCAAGCCCCGAGCGCACGCTCGTCCAGTCCCTCTCCTCCGCTGGGTCATCGAGGGTGAACACTGAGTCGCTCAGGTCCAACCGCCTGGCCCAGTGGAGCCGGTTTCCTCCCCACGCGAGTGGATCATCGCCCGACCGGACAAGGGGCTGGGAGGGTCCAGCCCCAGCCGAGGGGTCAACCATCGCAACCGTCGGCGTCGGCCCAACAGGAGCCGACGATACCTCCTCCATCACCGGTGCTCCCTCGGGAGTGGACCCTCCTATGGCATAGGAGGCTAGCAACTCGAGCTCCGAAGTCTGAGCCATCGCTGCATCGACCGGCGTGGGCGCCGATTCCACGAGCGCCTCTCGCGGTGCAATCGGCGCCTCTGCCTCCCCCGCTTCCTCATGCAGCGCCAAGCCCGCCTTGGCGCCATCACGGCGCCCCCAGCACCATGCCAGTAGGCTCCTGAGGGACTGGCCGATGCGCTAGGATCTTTCGTGGTGCGAACTCTAGGCGGTTGCTGAGGATGGTCCTGCAGAAAGCACCAATGTCACACGACGAAATCTAAAGATCGTAACGAAAGGGGGAATAAGTTGTTAACTCACCTCGATGCCATTATCCGAGGATGTTTCAGGGGCTGGCCACTCAACTCCGACTCTACCACGTCGGCAACTGGCCGCTTCGCTCCCCCGGTGGGGTCGGTCGACGCGGGGTGGACTTGCTCCTTAGGCCTCGGGGGTGCGTCCTACCTCACCGATCTTGGAGGCGCATCCTCTTCGGTTTGCGCCGGGGCGTGCTACGGAATCGGGGTCAAGTTGGCCTGCCCTGCATCGGCTTGCTCATCCTCGAGCGCATGTGCGCCCCATGGGATGTTGGGGTCGGACTCGTCCCCCTCCTCTTCCTCGTCTCCCTCCTCCTCCTCGTTGTCACTCTCCTCTGAGCCTTGCCAGCACTTTCCACGCTAGAGCTTCGCTCACTCCTTCACCTTCTTTCGCTCCTTCCTCACCTTCGCCGCCTCGGACGTGGTGCGGTTCGCCGCCCTCCTGGCCGCATCCTCTGGCAATGGCGGGTCAGAATCACGGTCAACGAGGCTGGGCTACAAATCTCGGCGCTTAGAATCTGAAAACAGAGGAGGGTCGGCCAAAGAAAGAAACTCGAAGAAGGCTTACCAGTTCGACGAAACCCACGTCCGACCGCATCGCGGGATGCCCCGGGACCGGATACACCGGGGCAAGATCCACCGACGGACCCGCTGGGCACTCCATCGCCTCCTTGAGTCGTTGTGCCATTTCGCCGATGCTGAGGGCCTCGTCGGCGACCATCACCGTCCCTTCGGGCGTGGAATCCAGCGCCATCTTCCACATCAGAAGAGCGCGCGCCATTAGCGGCGCCAGCCTCCTGACGTGGTACGCTCCGATGACGCCAGTCCCGCGAAGACCACGGCGCCTCAGAGTCGCAATGGCCTTGAGAAGGTCGCCAAGCCTCTTCTGCTCCCTCTCGATGGGCCCGTACCTCCACACGTCCGGCGCCTCCTCGATCAGGCGGCCGGTGAAGATCGGTAGGGGGGTGGCGGCGGCGTTCTTCAAGTAGAACCAGAGCTTATGCCACCCCTTGTTGGACTTCGATAAGGGGATGGACATGTACTCCGACGCTCGGCTGCCCCGAAGACGGATGCTCGCGCATCCCATCGGCACCGCCAGGTCCGGCCTCTTCTTCTACAGCTCGACGGAGAAGAAGTATTTCCACAGCTCGTAATGGGGCTCAATCCCCAAATACCCCTCGCACAGCGCGATGAAGGCCGAGATGTGCTGAATCCCGTTGATGCTGCAGCTCAATCCCGTAGCAGTGCAGCAGCCCTCGGAGGAATCGATGGGAAGGAGCCGCGAGCCCATGCTCGTGGAAGGGGATGGAGGATACGACGTAGCCGTCGAGCGGCGACGGCACATCCTCGCCACCAGGTACGATCCACTCCATCACCGCGGTCCTTGCGCGGAGAAGGCCTTTCTTAACCAGACCCTCCATGCGCATGTGGAGAACATCGGAGTGAGGCCACGGCTCCATCGAGGAAAGGGGATGGCAGTGCAGAAGTTGTGGCGGGGGCGTAGGGCTAGAGAGCGAGAACTTCGTCGTTGGTGGAGCGGAAATAGGGGAACGAAGGCCGGAACTCGAGAGCAAAAGGCAGGAAGGCTGGAAGGGCAAGGATGCGGCTGCGCGTACGGAGGCTAGGGAGAAGCTGCTTCGTTTATAAGGTAAGGGCGGAACGGGCGAGAGTCGAACCGTCCACCTAAATTAACGTGCCTCACGCCTCGCCAGATCCGTTTCTTTCGGGACTTGTGCCCTCATTATTCTCGCAGCACCAGTCCTTCACTTTGATTATATTATTGCAGAAAGTCAATGAGCAAGCAGGACCTTATAACTGCTCCTACTGATAACCGCTTTCAAATTGACGTTGAAAAAAATTGGGTTGAATCTTCCAAGATATCTGCTCTCCTGCAGGAGTTGGAGGTTCTTCGCAGTTCAGGTGCCAAGATTATCGTGTTTAGCCAGTGGACTGCATTTTTAGATCTGTTGCAAATTCCACTTTCTAGGTAAGTAGTGTTCAGTTTATTTGAATCACTGGCATATTATGTTTTTTTTTCATGCTGCCACCTGTAAGATCTAAAATACATATCATTTCTGCCAAGAACCTCCTGCACCCACGATACTAGACCTTCTGGTTTACATGTTTACTTTTTTTTTTGTCAGGTCTTCTTCCATCATTGTTTGGACGAAGCTGATCTTACCAACTAATTTCTGAGTTTTTGCATGGCAGGAATAATTTCTCATTTTCTAGGCTGGATGGGACATTGAATCTTCAGCAAAGGGAGAAAGTTATCAAGGAGTTCTCAGAGGACAAAGGCATTTTGGTATTTTTTCTGTTTCTTGGACCAAGACTCCATTCTAGATTAGTGTTATCATTTTTGCGAGATATGATGTGTTGGAAATGTTAGGACCTTCATTGCACTTGACCTATGCAGGTTCTGCTTATGTCTCTGAAGGCTGGTGGTGTTGGAATCAATCTTACTGCTGCTTCTAATGCATTTGTCATGGTATGCCCCATTGAACTTTGCAACGTTTCCAAACTAAAAACCTGTGTTTAAGTTATAATATCTTTGATATTGTGCTCCCTTTTTTGCCTGTCTCACATCCTTGAATTATTTTTTTGAACGTAACATCCTTGAATCTTTACTGTTAATATTTGATATTACCAGAGTTAACTAAAGATGGAATTCATTGATCCATTCATTCATTTTTTGGTTTATCAATGCTGAACAACATACTATATGGCAATGTGCTGGGGTGGTGGCAATGCCATGCATACATTGAACCAAGTACATGCCTTTGCTGCATATTTGTTGCATGGTGGTGCAGCTGCATCCGTGTTATGTATTAGTGTAACAGTAATACATAGTACTGTTAACATCTTTTTTATGCTAACAATTATCTTTTAGCTATCTTCCACTTGTTTGTGTCTTATGAGATGTTTGCTTAAGGACCCTTGGTGGAATCCTGCTGTGGAAGAGCAAGCTGTCATGCGCATCCACCGAATTGGTCAAACGAAGACTGTTTCTATCAGAAGATTCATTGTGAAGGTATCTTTTTCCCATCAAATCTCGTCGTAATCCATATTTTTATGGGGCTATTATCAGAATATACGAGGCATACTCTTTGACATTCTGATGCCCTGATTCTCCTGTTATCTTTCTGTATTGATCATGATATGATATGATATGATATGATATGGCTGTCCAGGGCACTGTCGAAGAACGCATGGAGGTCGTGCAGGCTCGAAAGCAGCGAATGATTTCTGGAGCTTTGACTGACCAAGAAGTCCGCACTGCACTTATAGAGGAACTGAAGATGCTTTTCTCTTGAGACGACAAAAGGGCTATTGAGCATCTGATGGCCGGCATGCTTGCACATTGCATCCGTAGCTAAAACAAGATGGCCGGTGTTCTTTTTTTCTCAAAGCCAGAAGTTGGAAGATAAAACGAGGGTAGGAAATTGCACCGCCCAAATATCTTCCATCTTCGGGCGTTTAGCTGTTGTTGTACGCATGATTTGTATATCATGAACAAAATTTGAGTCAGCAATCGGCAGAAGAAAAGTTTCTTTTCTAAACTGTGCATATATAATGGCTGCCAAGAGTCCAAGACGCTTCACTGAGTGAGACAGACAGCAACCGAAAGAAACTTGGAAGATGACGTGTGCTCCTACGAAGATAATCTACACAACCTCAATCATTCTCCCACTTGGTCTGCAACGCCAATACAGGTGAAAAAGGCTATCCCAACTTGGCCGACTGGGATAAATCGAATGCATCATTTTAAAATTGAAATACCTGTTTGGATTTTGGAAAAAGAGATAAAACTAAACATTTTGCCTCTTCCCTTGCTAGTACATAAACACCTCTTTTTTCTACTTTAATTGAAAGGCAGAGCTCCTGCCGTTGCTTTAAAAAATAAAAAATAAACTAAACATTTGCAGGAATACGAAGACAGCTACTGAGCTACCTGCTCGATCAAGTTTTGGCAAGGTGGCCAAGTACAAATGTATGTATAATCTATCTATGAATCTAGGGAAGGAGATGGTGAAACAAGTGCCGCCGACGATCTAAGAGACTACCAATACCAAGCAAGCTACAACAATGGCCAGAAGTGCATGAAGCCGAGCCATGGAGGTAGCATGTTTGGCCCAGAGGTGGGCGTGGTCTTGCCGGCTTCAGTTACTGGGCGCGTAGAGGGAGCCGCAACTGCCGCAGTAGCCCTGGGGCAGAGGAAGAAGCTCCTGCTCCCTAGCTCCATGAGCTTCTCCGCCGGGTCCAAGCCTGTTTGTTTGCAAAACAGCCATCATGTCAATTGCGGGAGTAGCTATAGCACGGGCACGAGGAGCGCAGCAGAGGGACAGGCGTCAGCGTGACGTACTTTCCAAGCTGAACTGGGAGTAATGGAGGCCGAACGCGGAGGGGTCGGCGGACGGCAGCAGCGGGCGCCGTCCTTCCCTGGTGTAGAGCTCCACCGCGGCGGCGACCAGGTCCGCGACGCGCCACTCGGCGCCCGCCATCACGTGCAGCGCCCACATGCTCCGCTGCACGGCGACGGTCACCAGCGCCTTGCTCGGCGCCGCCCTCCTGCCCCACGGGACAGCGACAGCGGCGGCGGTGGTAGCGTCGCCGCCGTGGACGCCCGCCCGCCGGAAGCCCGGCTCCCTGACGCCGGCCAGCAGGTCCGGGTGTGTCCGGGGCCTCTGTCTCAGCAGGTGGTCTCGCTGCTGCTGCTGATGCTCGGGCGTGCCGCGCCCGTGGAACGACGCCCTCCGCTGCACGAGCGCCTCGCGCGGCGCCGGCGCCCCCGCGGCCTTTTGGCTCTTCTCTGCGTGTCTCTGCCCCGGCCAGGCCTTGTGATCAGCTGGCGGCGGCGCAAGAGGGGGCATGTTTGATCTTTGGGCAAACAACAGGGCAGCTCACGGCCGGTTTTACAAGCTTCACCTCGCTGGACAAGAGGAGGAAGGCGGACAGATCGCTGGAGCGTGCTCATATATACACAAGCAAAGCAGGGCCCGGGCATTAGGCGTCACTGGCGGCTGATTGGTTTTAGATTCTTCGCTGGACAGGAGTGCCTTCGACTCGTGCGGTGCCACGTGTGAGGCGTGCGGCGCCGGCGTCGCTGATTCAGGAATCAGGTGGCTGCTTGCTCCATAGTCCGACACGGCGGCCCGGCGCGGCATAAGTCTGGCGCGGCACTGCTTGCTCCCATCGCTTGACACATGTAAACTAGGTCGCTGTCTCGTCGGCGTGCTATCAGGGCCAACGAATCAGCGATATCACCGGATTATTTGAAACCCCGCGGGAAGGAAGATCGTGCTTGTTGTAGGGCTCGGATTGTGGCAACAAGACGCGGGGCCCGTCTCCCATGAGCCATGACTTCTAGCCTCTTCTTCTATAGGACTGCCATATGATGCGTTTGGCGCCGTCCGTCCGTCTGCTGAGGCTTGAGCTCGCGTCTGGGGGCTGCATCTGCTGATGAGTGCTGACCACGATGACGGCTTGGTAATACAGCAGCGGCGGCACTACCGAAAAATAGGAGGCTATGGCTATGGACGGATGCTGTATGTGACAAGTGACATATACACAATACTACCATAGTTCCAAATACAACTACGAGTTAGGTGCCACGTAAAATAGTTCATACTTAACCAAATTTCTAGTAAATGATATTCACATTTATGAATTTAAATTAATTTATTATGAAAATACATTTTATAATTAATCTAATAATATTTATTTGGTATCATAAACATTGATATTTTTTATGTATTATTGGTCAAACTTAAGACACTAAAACGCGACAGTGTCCTAGAATTGCATTTTTTCTCCTTCTAGGACGGAGTGAGTACTAAACTATTAGAGCAACTCCAAGAGTTATCTAAAAATAGCTAGCCAAATTTCTTGTTTTAGCCATTATGTAAAATAGAAAAATCATAAAAAAAGAGGACTCTACAACAGCCTAGCTATTTTGGCTCTTCTATATTTGAAAACAAGCCACGTTAACATACTTGTCATCCAAATCCCAACCGATCCTAGTTTTGTGGCAACAATTGGATCCTATGGATTGCTTCTCCCTCGCGAGTATAGATGGCCAACGGGCCGTGCCGGCCCAGCATGGCTCGACGTCGTGCCGTGCTGGCTCGATGGGGGTCTTGCCTCGACGGGCCGTCGTGCCTGCCGTGCCGTGCCTCCACGGGCTTCGTGCCTAGCCTACGGCCCATGGCACGGCCCGTGGGCCGTCTGATTGTGCCGTGCCACCCGTTGGGCACGGCCATTTTCCCCGTGCCGTGCCGGCCCATAGTCCGACAACCAAAAAACATCTCATTTTCACCGAGTGTTTGAACGACGGCGAGCGGCGGCGGAAGGACAGACACGACGAGCTCACATGGTACACCAGAGGAGGGGGGAAGAGGGGATAGGAAGGGAAAGGAGGGAGGAGATGGTTAGCGAACTCAGATCGACGTGGACGAGCGGCGATGAGGTCACCGGAGCAGGGCCGGCGAGCTCAAGGCGAGCGGCGGCGAGCTCCAGGCGGCGGATCGAGAGCGAGCGAGACGAGACGACTGCGACTGTGAGCGGCGGGAGTGGAGTGGGATTAGGGTTAGGGATTGGGGGGCAGCATATATACGGCCGCGGGGGAGGCGGCTTCGTGGGCTAGGCTGCCTGCGGCCTGCCTCACTAGCCGTTGGAGGCACCGGGCCGCCTCTTACACCAGGCCATGCCCGTGCCGTGCCGCGGGCCTAGGTGGCGGCCCAGGCACGTCCTGGTCCTTCGGGCCGGGCCAGCCCAGGCCCGATGGCCACCGGGCCGTTCCATGCTTGGGTCGGGCCAAATTGCCGGGCCACAGGCCGGGCCACGAGCCCACGGGCTGCATGGCCAGGTATACTCACGAGAATAGGACTCCGTGGACCGCGTCTGTCTCGCGAGAATATAGAACTCTGCGGCCTCCAGGTTTTGACTTCACACCGGCGTTCTAGGTTTCGACTTCAGACTGCACCATGAGACGCTGATTCTGGTGGCGACGGACTGCTGCCTCCGCATGAGATCAGAGTTTCCCGCCATCTGTTCTATCATACGTTGCTCTGTTCTGTCAAGTATGTTTTCTAACACTAAATTAGTTTCTTATATTTCGTTAGAACAGAGATGCAAACACTGACGACCTTGAGATGTACGATGTTTATGCATGGTGTTCTAGTGTTAATTCTTGCTTGAAATATTTATTTAGGTCACATTATCCGATGAGCAGATTGAGGTTGTAACATTGCATGAGAAATAATTACCAGACATCTTATTTTTCAATCCTTGTGTAGGTGCTCGAACAAATTCCTAGGATTCTTCTAATCAAAGGTCTATGATGGATTTGGAAGACGTATTGAATGAAATGATGGATTCGTCGTCGTCGTCTTCGGATGATGACGATGAACTTTATATTGTGACAGCACACGTAGTGTCACACATTGCAAATTCAGCATGCCATCGTGGTTCCGTAGAGGGACATCATGTTTTGAATCGTGATAGGCAGTCGGGGCATATCAGACTGTATGAAGACTATTTCTCAGATAATCCTACGTATGGACCGAGCTATTTTAGGCGCAGGTTAATTTTCTCATATTTTGTTCAATTATGTTTAGCACATGCATTCAGTTGTGGCTAATTTTATATCAGGTGCCATAGGTTTCGAATGCGGTGTCATGTATTTGTACATATAATGAATGCTGTTGAAGAGTATGACGACTATTTCACACAGAAGAGGAATGCAGCCGGAACCCTAGGACTATCTTGTTTGCAGAAGGTGGTAGCGGCATTTTGGATGTTAGCTTACGGAGTAGCAGCTGATGCTATGGACGACTACATCCGTATTGGGGAGAGTACTGCTCTAGAAAGTCTTAGAAAGTTTGTCACAGTTGTTGTTCAAGTATTTGGACCTAAATACTTGAGGTTGCCTAATGAGCATGATACTGCTAGATTACTTGCAATTGGTGAGAGTAGAGGTTTTACTGGCATGCTTGGTTCCATTGATTGTATGCACTAGAGCTGCAAGAATTGTCCTGTTGCATGGCAAGGTATGTATATGGGACATAAAAAGGAGCCTACAATTATACTAGAAGTTGTTGCTTCTAAAGATCTCTGGATTTGGCATGCATTCTTTGGGATGCCAGGTTCACACAATGATATAAATGTTCTTCAAAGATCTCTTATATTTGCAAGGCTTGCTGAAGGTCAAGGGCCACAGGTAAATTATACCATTAATGGAAATGATTATACAATGGGTTATTATCTAGCAGATGGTACATATCCATCGTGGGCCACATTCGTGAAGACCCTACCCGAGCCGCAGAGTAATAAGAAGTATTTTGCAAGAGCACAAGAAGCTTGTCGGAAGGATGTTCAACAAGCATTTAGAGTTCTACAATCTCGCTTTGCCATCGTTCGAGGGCCAGCTCGTCTGTGGGATGAAAATACGCTTCAACTTACCATGACAGCTTGTATCATTATGGACAACATGATTGTTGAAGATGAAGGAGTTGATGAAAAAGATTTTAGATATGATGATGTGGGAGAGAAAAGGTGACTATATCACACGATGACATACCTGAGTTTGATGAATTTATTCAGAATTACAAGAAGATCAAGGACAAGGAAACACACACAAGACCTTATCAAACACTTATGGCATAATTTTCCAGATTTATATACAAATTATATTGTTGAATGATTCCATTTACTATTACAATATCTAGGCATTTTGTATTAGTTTGAGGACCTATCTTATTTATCTGATGTAATAAATATTGTAACAAATCTGATTTTCAGACGAGGACACCACTCAATTTACTTGATCTGTCTTTTAATAGTTCAATGGAAACTGCTCCTTTACAGAGTACACATCAAAGACAAATATTAGTTCAGATAACAAGGGACAATGCAAGAACATTAGTCACACTATTCTGGAAATCTAAAATGTGAGAAAAATAGACATGTCTCACACTATGCTGGAAATCTAAAAACTGAAGAAGATGGTCCTAATTTTTGAGTTGTCTTGCAAGTATTTTAGCCTTTAGGTGCACATAGAACTGATGCTGATCGGTTGACATGGTACTCATATTAACATTCATAATTCTTTCTTCTTCTCTATCCCGTTTGAAGTAAAACTTTTTTGGTCAAGTTTTAACCTTTCTTCCTGCAAAGCAAGGGCTTTTTGGCACCTCTCCTCTTTCTTCAACTCCTTCTCCTATTTCTTCAATTCCTTCTCCACATTAGCATCTTTCTTTTTCGCCAACAGATAATCCAATGCTTCGATGCTGGAACATTGCCGTAATTTGTCTTTTTCCTTCTTCTTCCCTGCAGGCCTATCCAGCGTAGGCACTGCGGGCTAACTATCATCAACATTACTACTGCCAACTAGTTGTGCAGAACTTGATTTCGTAGTGATTTTTTGCTTTTTGGGTGCTGGTTTATGAGTTCCACTCGGGTTGTTCCTATTGATCCACTTGGCTTGGTCTTTCAATTTTTTCCAGCAATGGATGTATGGGAAATTTTGGTGCATCTTGTCTTCTTCCGTGAACATGGTCAATGCGTTTGCTTGCTGCAAATAACACCGAGAATGCATGAGGTAGACAAACCTTATCAAACCTTATCATCGATAGACAAGCCACTTTGATTTCTACCCTCTACCTTTGAAACACAATTAGCAAAGATGTTCACATCATGCAGTATACCAGACCAATGGCTCATTAGGGAGTTTTGCGTTCGATCAGAAGCTAATATTTTGTTGGAATGAAAATAATCATATATTCTTTTCCAATATGTCGAACGTGGTTGATCAACTCCATGCACCGGATCCAAACTCACATTTAGCCATTTGAGACCAACGTTAAGTCCTCGC